AGGACTGACTCAGCCAGTCTCAGGCTCCTGGAGACCTCCTGGGAGGTCTGCCCTAGGAAACCCTTTCTGGAACAACCTGGGGCAGGTAAGGGCCCCTTGCTCTCATATTCTCCTCCCTGATGATTTTGCATTCAGAGAAGAATAAGAACCTGAGTCCAGGAAGATCAAACCCCACAGACAAGGTCTCCTCATTCTCCCATGACAGCCCTAGTTCTGCATTTCCAAGCAAGAGCATCTTCCCAGCATGAAGACCCAGGAGCAAAGGGGGAGCTTCAAACAGGGGTGAGCAGGACAGAAGCCGCCTTGGTCAGTGGGAAGGAAACTTCTCAGCTCACATCTGACCCAGAATCAGCCACACCTGTGCAGGATCACCTGCATGTGAGCATCATGTAGTTGCTCCGTGAGTAAATGCCTTGTGTGACTCGGGTGAAATCCTACCACAGGTGACATTTCTTTGTCTATTGCTTCAACTGATGTTTTTCATAATTCACTTTAGGACACTTGCAGAAGGTACGTGTGTCAGGTGTGGGATGTATCGCTTAGGAAAATCAGAGGCTTCCTGGATCGGTGCTGTTCCTTGTATTTGTGCCCATACCTCACAGAACTGGGAAAAACAGAAAAGAAAATGATGCTCTGCTCAAAAAAGCACCGGAAATATGATTGTATTAATATAGCTACACCTTACTAATTGAGCTAATGGTACATTAACTTAGACAGACAATATTTATGGTGGGATCCCTAACCCTAACACATTGTATTAACATTTTTACCAGGATAAAAGATCACTAAAAGGTCCATTTTTTTTTTTTTTTTTTTTTTTGAGATGGAGTTTTGCTCTTGTTACGCAGGCTAGAGTGCAATGGAATGATCTCGGCTCACCGCAACCTCTGCCTTCTGAGTTCAAGCAATTCTCCTGCCTCAGCCTCCCAAGTAGCTGGGACTACAGGCGGGCACCACCATGCCCAGCTAATTTTTGTATTTTTAGTAGAGATGGGGATTCACCATGTTGACCAGGATGGTCTCAATCTCTTGACCTCATGATCCACCCTCCTCGGCCTCCCAAAGTCTGGGATTATAGGCCTGAGCCACCACGCCCGGCCTAAGGTCGACGTTTGATTAAAATCTGGGGTCTTTTACTTTGTTCTGCAATCAGCCAATGATTGCAGGGAGCTGGCTGCCCTCCCAGGCCCTGACTGCCTCCATGTCCAAGTAAAGTAGCAATCCCCACAAGCAACTGGAAGAGCTGGCGAGGGGAAGGTGTTTGCATCGGGGACTCAAAATTAGCTCACGTTTACTCATGTTCCCTCCCCAAGCCCAGGCTGGTTCCAGAACATTAAGTGGTGAGCTTCATTATGTGTCTAGGACTTCCCTGGTCCTGCTCTTCATCTTCCTTCCCCAGTGACCTTGAGATTGTCACTCCTTCTCACAGGCCCTTCCTTTCCCTGTCAAGTGCACTCCCTGAATTCTCTTCTCCTGGGTTAGCAAATCTCTAGAACTTGAGGGAAAGTAATGCTGGGTCACCACATGGGGCCCAGAAAGCTGACCCAGGACCAGACACACAGGCAGCAGGGTGGGTCCCTAAAGGTCTGCACTGTGGGTATCAGGTAGAGAGGAGGACCAGGAAACACTCCCCTGGGTGTCTTCAGGGCCAGGTGAACCAGGGAGGGGCTGGTACTGGGGCTGGACCCATGTGAGCCACACCTGTCCCCATCACAGGAGCGTCTTCCTGGTCACAAGTGATTTTGTTTGCTATGCTGCCCCAGATCATCTAATTTATTACCTGTGAATTTCACACACTACACATCATTCTTGTCCCGAATTCTTCACTTGTGAGCAAATGTCACATCTCACCTGAACTGGTGTACATCCCAGATCCCCTGCAGGCTTCCCACCGTCACTTGAGATCCTAACACATCCAAGACCCTTCCCTGCAGGGCACAGACATAACTCCCTGCACACATTTCCATCATGTATTTCTTCACTCCTTCCTCAAAGGAGCTCCACAGACTCTTCTTCAGGGAGGCTTCTCCAACCACCACTGAATCTACAGCATCCGACCACTCAGCTTCTGTTGAAACCTGCCATGATTATCTGCACAGAGCCTATAATTCCATGTTGATTTTTTCTGTCATTATCTTTTGATTGCTTTATTTCTATGAATCATTGCATTATCCGTCAGAAATGATTTTTCACTACAAGGACACATGTGGCAGGAACCAGGGAGCATCCAATCTTCTCCCACAAAATTAAGTCTGCACGTACTTGGTGGTTGTTTTCCAGATGTGCACCAGTTTAATAGGAACCTCAAATATTTCTAAGTTTCCATTCCCTTCAATGCAATGCTGACTTTGCTTTCATTGTTGTTGATGTAAGACCTCAGCATGGCTGCTGCCGCTCCGGCTATCACACCATGTTCAAGAGGAAAAGCAAAGCACAAATCCAGTACTGTCCTTCCTTCACAAGAGGACAAGTTCCCTGAGAAGAACCTCAGCCACCTGACTCTTACATATCATAGACCAAAGCTGGGCTACATGGTCACTGCTGGCTGGGAGAAACTGGGAATTTGCCTGGCTTTCAAGTGATAGAGGGAATGACGCACAGGTAGAAGGTGGTAGGGAGTATCTCCTGGGTCTGTAAACCCAGTGTCCCTACTGTACTGACTCACAAACAGGAGACGAAGCTACTCAGAGCAAAGGTGGTGTCTTCCTCATGCTGAATTCCTAAAATGCATTCTTGCCAGGACAGAGTGGGTCAGGGTGACTATTTGTTGGGTGAATGAGCTTCTGTCTCTGATGTATTTCAGGAGTCACCAGCAGCACACATTGGTCCTGTATTTGTATCCAGAACCAGTCAAAGCCACCCCTGAGTCCTGTACCTCTCAGCACCAAGTCCCAGTCCCCCTTCAGGACCACCCATCATCCAGAGATACAAGCAGGGCGCCTCAGGAGGGTCCTGTCACCTCCTCCTGCATGTGGGAGTGTTTGTATTTCCATCAGGAATCTGAGTGGCTTGTGCTGGGTCTTGAGGCAGGAAGGGGCCACACAGAGAAAAGAAATTTCTTCCCTGAGGTCAGCAATCCATGAATCAAGGAATCAGGAACCTGAGCAGCAGATTCTGAAGCTAACCTGGACTCAGGAGGCCCCTGAGCCTCCAGCTGCCACCAGATGGCAGCAGAGAGCAACCTGACAAAAACACGGGGATAGGGAGGGTGTGGGCATCAGGGAGATAGATGCTGACATGCAGGGAGGGTCAGAGACCACGACTGGAGACCTGGAAGGAAATAGATTCTTCTTTTCTTAGTGTGTTTGTCCTTGACACTGATGCTTACATTCTTCTGACTTCCTGGTTCTCAGATCTGACTTTTGGAGATAGTGCTTATTTTTCTGACACAGATTCAGACACTGCCTCTTCCCATCGCCCCAGCCCCCATCCCACGGTCACACGTGCCATCCCATTCTGCAGTCACACGTGTCCCACCTCCCTGCCATATGCTCTGGGAGCCCCTGTCCTGCAGACACAGAGGCTTCTCCTTCCCCGACACTCCTCCACGTTCCCGACTCTGTCCTGGGATCCTGCCAAGCCACAGCTCTTGATTTCCTCATGAGGCACAAAATACTTGCTCATTAATCTTTTGTTGACTTCAGCTTTTACCCATTGATACATTTTCCCAGTAACTGAAGACAACGTAGTTACAATAAACATTCACTTCCAGGGTCTTGGAGGTTGCAGTCCCCTCTCATTCTCTCATGCAGAAAATACTTCCTTCACCTCCTGATCTGTCTTTCGTCCTGACAGCACCCTGGGGATACTGAGGCACAGCACCTATGACCTGGCACTAGAACTCACTGCCAAGGTAGGAACGTACCGCATCCTACGGATCTTCCACAACTCTGTGTGCATGCAGCACCCAAGAATTGCATTTTCCTCTAGCATTGAGGAGCTGTGCCCTGTGGGGTGACTTGTACCTGTCCAAGCCTTGTGCTGTCCCCTGTAGAGTGGGAATGGAGAGGGCCCCTGCACTGGGCTCTGGAATGTGTCTTCAAAAGGGATTTAAGCCTCTACAAGACATCTCATGTCTGACATCAAGTATTTATGATCAGGACACTCCTGGAGAAGTAGCAGACAGTTAACCACCTGCCTCCCGAGCCGGGATGAAATGGAGGAGGGGCCGTGGGCCCAGCTAATTCTCCCACCACTGTGACTCTGGAAATCTCTTGAACAGGCCAGCCACTATTCTAATGGAAAAACGTTGTGTCCCCTGGAGAATACAGAGAAACTCAGATTGAGCTTTTCATGACCAACCCAGCCCAGGAGCAAGGCTGGGCACAATCCGGGTAAAGATGTGAGCCCAGAATGTGGGACCAGTGGGTGAAGAAGAATCCCATGGGCTCAGAGGGTGGGTAAGCAGGGGTCATCCCTTCTCCCTCTGTGTCCCATAGGGCTGAGCCCTTCTCTGGAAACCACAGAGCTCCTCCAGCAGCTGTCTCTGACTCTGCTGATTTGCATCACGGGCTGCTCTCTCAGCAAGGGGATAAGAGAGGCCTGGGAGGAACCTGCCCAGCCTGGGCCTCAGGAAGCAGCATCGCCGGTGCCTCAGCCATGGCCTGGACCCCTCTCCTCCTCGGCCTCCTCGCTCACTGCACAGGTGATGCCCCCAGGGTCTCACCAAGCTGCCCAGCCCCAGGGCTCTGGTCCAGCATTGCCTTGACTGAGCTCAGCAGGGCCCTGCCTGTGGTGGGCAGGGTGCTCGTGACCTGCTGCAGGGAGAGTGGCTGGCGGGGCTGAAATCCCCCACGCTCTGCTCAAAGGCTTGTGAGAGCCTGAGGGGTTGCCCCTGCCAGGAGAGAGGAGTGGGTTTTCAGGTCAAAGGCTCCATGCAACAGGAACGTCCAGGGGCCACTGGGACTGGGGCGGATTGCAGGGGATACCCTAAGGGTTCACAGACTCTCTGGAGCATGTTTAGGACAGGAAAGTAAGAGATTTCAGAAAATGTGTCTCACCTGCAACCCAACCTCTACTTCTTTTTTTCAATCTTTGCAGGCTCTGCGACCTCCTATGAGCTGACTCAGCCACACTCGGTGTCAGTGGCCCCAGGACAGACAGCCAGGATCACCTGTGGGGGAAACAACATTGGAAGTAAATATGTGTACTGGTACCAGCAGAAGCCAAGCCAGTCCCCAGTGCTTGTCATCTATAGGGATAGTAATCGACCCTCAGGGATCCCCGAGCGATTCTCTGGCTCCAACTCTGGGAACACCGCCACCCTGACCATCAGCGGGGTCGAGGCCGGGGATGAGGCTGACTATTATTGTCAGGTGTGGGATAGTAATCATCCCACAGTGACACAGGCAGATGGGGAAGTGAGACAAAAACACTCTCTCAGCCTCTGTCACCCTCTTGCTCCAGCCCTGGAAGGCCTGTGAATGAAACCATGAGTGAATCTGGATCAGTTCACCTTGGTCTGAGCCCCCAGGCTGCCCTTCCCTCCAGCCCCTCCAGGAGTCTGGATCTGAGCCCCCAGGCTGCCCTTCCCTCCAGCCCCCTCCAGGAGTCTCCACCGAGCATGCATCAGGCATAGACATGGCCTGGAAGGACCAGAATCATCTGGTGACTTGGGGCTGCTGTGTGAGTTAGAGAATGAGGGCCCGGTGGAAAGACAGACAGACACAACCTCTGTTCACTGTCCTGTCCCTGGATGGTCATATGGTGGGGATGGGACCAGTCCTTAGACTACCTGTCTGGATCAGGCCCCAGAACTGCTGCCCAGCTCTGCAGAGGTCCTGGGCCCCAGGCTGTGGCGGCCTGTGACTCCCAACAGAACAAATCAGAGGAGGGGACACTGTGAAGTCAGCCCAGATTCCCTCTTCAATGTGACCACCTAGCCCTACTGAGAACCCAGCAGCTCAGATCTGTGCTCTCACTGGGAAGGGCTCTTGGTTGCAGAAAGCTTCCTCAAGGTGATGCCCCTTCTCAGAGGGGTTCAGTTTAATGAACTAAGATCTCAAGACACTGCCTCAATTAAGATGCCACTGAATTAAGAGGCTTCCAGCTCCATAGCTCACTGTGTGGATGCCTGAGGCCTCAGTGCCAAACCCATCATGAGTCAGGTCTCCTGCCCAGTGTTGTCTCCTCACTCCACTCTAAATCCTCTGTGCATGGAAATCTCCATCTCAGAGTCGGCTTCCAGTGAGCCCCATCTAAGATGGCCTGCTGTCCTACACATGGACCAGAGGACGCCACGATACACTGAAAACTCTAGTTTCTATCCTAAATTTTCAGAGTAAATGTTGAAACGCTCAATCTGACGGTTCCTTGAATTTTTATGCAATGAAAAGGGAGCCTGACATGCCAGGTGCTCTGGGCTGAGGGAGAGTTGGAGTCAGATCTCCATGTAGGGAAGCCCGGGGCTGGTGTAGCAGCCTCACCCCATGCAGGGACCACAGATGCACCCACAGGGTGAGCTGCAGGATGGACGCTGCCCACCTCCAACCTCCACAGCTTCTGCAAATGTCGCTCGTTTCCACAACCCCAACCAGATTTGTAGATGTGATGAACCACGTAAAACACACGTCACTTGTATCAAAAGCCACTGCAGGCCACCATGGTCAACAGAAAACCCATTCACATCCTTATAAACTACACAGTCCCCAAATAATTAATCTCCTGAAAATAACAATAACAATAGACATGAAAATCTATGTAATACATCTCGTAATTTCATGCTGATAACATGTGAAAATGATAGTATTTTGCTTTATTGACAGAAATAAAATATACTATTATATAAACTTACTTGCCTTATCTTTTTATATTTAACGTGGTGACTAGACACTAGGGGTCACAGGAGGATCATGTCACACCGTTATTGGACAGAGCTGCCAGGACTGTTTCAGGTGACAGGTGCTGTCGAGTACCCTCATGCAGGAAGCCCATCTCCACCAGACGACGTAAGTGTGAACCCAGGAAGAGGCACTGGGACAATAGAGGAGAACCTGCTTATGCAGAAGACAGTGCCCTTGGGCCCTGCCCTGCTCCATCCTATGTGAGCCACATCCGTCTCACTGTGGATCATTTTGTGCCCTGCTGAGCTCATGACTGGGTGGATCTAGCAGGTCTGGCTGTGTGGTCACTGCTGTCTCACGTGGTTCCGGATGTAACAAAGACCACGAACATAGAAGAGGTTGTTTTCAAAAGGTAAATAATTCTCTACTGCACATGACATAGACTTGCTGCTAAATCCCATGGGTCTACAGTAGGATTCTCCTCTGAAGCTTTGCCTTAAGCACAAGGTTTCAGTTCCTGTGCCCAATCCCCTGTTATGGTGGAGTCTGCTAGTTTCTCTGGCCCAACAGCAGGACACTCACACCCCCGCCTGCACCTGCTGCAGAGCCTTTCTGCTCTTGGCCCCAAAACAATGGGTGACACAGTTCTCAGACCCATGATTTATGGTGTCAGTATTCAGGCCTCAGGGGTACCTGATGGCTTCTCTGGCTCCAGGTCTGGAAACTGCCTCCATGACCATCTCTGGGCTCCAGGCTGAGGATGAGGCTGGTTGTTACTGCAGTTCATATAAAAGAGGTGACGCTTTCCACAGTGGTCCAAGTTCATGGGGAATTGAGACCCAAACTTGCCCTTGGCTCTGAGGCCCTCCCTTGCTCTGAAGATGCTTCCTCACCCTGTGCAAGGGGCTTCCTGCAGCACAGCCTTGAGAATTCCTCCCTCTCAGCTCCTCTCCTTTCTCGCCACGAAGTTGAAAAGGAAACCTGCTGTGTGGTTTCTCATCCGGGACAGGGACAGCTTCCTTTAGCTTGTGTGTTGTGGTCCTCGAATGTGCAACTATTTTTAGCTCTTCAAATGCAGGCACCTGGTAAGATGGAGTTGCCTGATTGGTGCAGTCGCTGCTGTTTTTAGGGATATCCTCACCCTAGATGCATCCCCATCTCCCACACCACGCAGACCAATCTGGACAGAAGTCATTACGAGGAGTTTTAAGAAATTGAATCTTACTCCACTCTGTGTCCACCACACTCTGGTGAAGATGGCGTTCCTGGCTGGGCTATTTCTCCACCCTTCTGTCCTAAAGCAGCGACCACTGTGAGGAGATCTGAACATGTTTTTGAGGATTAAGAACAAGAGGAAGCTGTTGTTTTTCTATTTTTTAATTTTTATGAGACAGAGCCTCGTTCTGTCACCAGGCTGGAGCACAGTGGCACAATGTCAGCTCACTGCAACCTCAGACTCCCAGGTTCAAGCAATTCTTCCTGCATCAGCCTCCTGAGTAGCTGGGATTACAGGTGCCCACCACCATGTCTGGCTAATTTTTGCATATTTAGTAGAGACAGGGTTTTCCATGTTGGCCAGGCTGGTCTTAAACTCCTGACTTCAGGTGATCGCGTCCCCCTGGCCTCTCAGAGTGGTGGAATTACATACATGACCCACTGCATCTGGCCGTATTTTTCTTATTTTTGCTCCTTCTCTTTTCCTCAATACCTCACGTTGCTGAGCTGGGGAGATTTTGAGTGACAGGCTCAGTGCTCCCTCAAAATCCCCCTCTATCACATTGCTGAGGCCCTGTCCTGGAAACTCTCCAAAAGCGGAGGGTCTCCCTATAGAACAGGAGTTTCCAAAATGGCTCCACTGGGAAGAGTTAACCTGAGTCCATTCCTTCTTCCTCACTGACATCCAGCATTTGTAATTTCCATGGGTGTCAATACTTTTGCAGCTGAAATCTTTATTAATCTACTAAAGCTAAGAATTAATTTAATAAATATTCAGACATAGTTGCATCCAGTATTTAAATTTTATGAGTCAATTGGTAAGACAGCCATTATTATATATAGTTTAGGCTTCATAAACTTGGATTAAGTGGATTTTATGAAAAACAAAGTAACCATTTTACTATATGTGTTTCCTATATCAACATGTTGTATACCTGAAATAGCCACAAGAATATTTATTTCCAAAACCAAATTGTGTTTATTGTCTATTGTTGCATAAATTTGCTGCCACAGTTAGCAAGTTAGGAGAACACAGGTTTGTGATCTTGTCACTTCAGTGCATCTGGAATTTGAGAGCAGTTTAGATTTGTGGTTCTGGCTGTGGGTTGATTATGAAGTTGCGGCCAAGCTGTCAGGCTAGGCTGCATTTAGAGGCCAGAGCAGGTGGCCAGGCGCAGCCCGAGGGGGCTTCCACTGTCCCTAACTTATTTGGTTGATGTGGAAAAGCTCAGAGGAAAAGGAGAGAGTGAAATGTGAGGCCTTCATCCTGGTCCCCCTTGTCAAAGACCATCCCATACATATACCGTTTCCTATTATTTCCTGGGACATCCTAGGCATAGAGCACTGCCCCATTCATTCTAAGGCTGCAGAGTTTTCCAAAGTGGAATTTTAGCCACGCAGCCTCTAATGATTATCACCATGAGTTTGATCTTACAAATAACACTGCAGCGAGCCTCCCTATGCAGACGCCTTTGAGTTCGTGTGTGCATACGACCACAGGATAACTTTCCAGAAGTGGAATTGCTGGGTCAAGAGGATATGCACTTGTAACTTTTACCCATTGTTTTCTCATTTCCCTCCGGAGGGGTTCTACAGTAATGTAGAAATGACAGCCCTAATCTTGATTGGAATTCATTGGTGGAAGTACACATTTTTGCCAACCTATCAGATATAAAAAGTTATCTTGTTACACTTTGATTTTTGATTTCTCCTGTTTGCTTGAGGTTGAGCCTTTGCTCAAATATTTCAGCACCCATTCCTTTTTCGGATTTGGTAAAGTTTTCCTTAAATGTCTAGATAAGTATTTTAGTCTTTGCCACACATAAGTCAACTTTGGGGATAACATGTGGGTACTGACAGCACCATGTGCAATATAATCATTAAGTAATATAAAAACCAGTGTCACTTCTGAGCCATTTTTAAAAAGGTGCCAGTCCAGGCCTGTCCCACAGGATGTGGTTTAATGGTCCCTGGTTTGTAGGGTCATTTGAAGTTTGAAAATTGCACCAGCGTGTGTTCTGGGTGGAGATCTCCTTGTGAGGGTCACTGTATTTCACCTCCTGTAGTGGCCTGAGATTTTTCTTTGGATAAGAACATACTTGTCCCATCTATTTGATAGGATCTTGTGTCTGCTCAAGACAGCCGTGTGTCACAGGCTTATGACTTTCATCTTCATCCCTTTGCTTTCAGTTTTGTGAGAGCTTTAGTAGATCAGGAATAGAGACTCCTCCCAGGTGGAAAGTTAGAGGGAGAGGGAGCAGCAAATGGGCAAGGAAGCTCGCATCAAGTTGGGAGTGAGGCCGGGCGCGGTGGTTCACGCCTGTAATCCCAGCACTTTGGGAGGCCGAGGCGGGTGGATCATGAGGTCAAGAGATCGAGACCATCCTGGTCAACATGGTGAAACCCCGTCTCTACTAAAAATACAAAAAATTAGCTGGGCATGGTGGCGCATGCCTGTAGTCCCAGCTGCTCGGGAGGCTGAGGCAGGAGAATTGCCTGAACCCAGGAGGCGGAGGTTGCGGTGAGCCAAGATCTCGCCATTGCACTCCAGCCTGGGTAACAGGAGTGAAACTCCGTCTCAAAAAAAAAAAGTTGGGAGTGATCCAGTAAGGGCTGCGATAAAAGGTCTTAGCATCAGCCTTGTAGCTGAAACCAAAAATGCACAAGGTCACTGGTGTCTGAACAGCATAAGCAAATGAATAAATGAAGTTCAAGTTTTAAATGTATTACAAAATTTTATAAAGCACACAGATTGTAAAACTCAGGATGTAAAATGGGATAAAGAAGAGACTTTGAGCTTTTAAACTGTTAAGTCCCCCAACTAAGTTGCCATGAGAAGAACAGGCTGTGATAGTGGAAATATGTTATCCTGCAAATTATCATTTTGTGTAAAGGAATATTTTCCCTTTCTTAGATGAAAGAAACATCTTCTGGAACATCCTTCTCTCCCGCTGCCAAAGCACCATTAAGCCACAAGTAAACTGAAGCATGAAGTAGGAAACAATGACCCTTTTGTATAACCATTGAGAGGTTTCTTTATTTGTACCCCAAAATGTTGATGCTCAATGCAGAAACTGGATTTAGTAATGTAATATGCTTACAAAAGGTTAATTTTCTTTGGGCTACATTATTTCTGTGTATGATTTATCTTAGTCAATTCAGACATATTCTGCTCTAAAAACAATTTAACTTCTGTGTTTTTTGGTTATATTTTCTTATCAATTATGGTTCTTTTCCAAACGCTGTCAGAAATAGCCCATGGCTACTGATTATAAAATTCAATTTTATTGGCATTTAAATTATTATATTCTCTATTTAAGAATGTGAATTTTTCACATCTAACTCGAAATGTTGCTGATGTTGACTCACTGCTTTATTTCCGTTTTAATAAAGTAGGAGTTTACTTTTCGGGACACCCAGATGAGAACAGGAGACTAGAGATGAACCACCACCCCCAAAGCTGTTTTCCTTTAAACCCTCAGGATGAATCACCCTGGAGAATCACTCACACTTAATTTGAATTATATATAAATAAGAGTTGGGTCTTAGAGTTGATGCTGAGTTAGTTTAGAATTTGGGCTGCTAGGATGAGGTAAATGTTTTTACAAGTGAGAGAGACATGAGTTTTTTGGAGTCCATAGGGTGAGGGGTTATTGGATGAATTATGTCCCCCAAAATCCATGCCTTGAAGCTGTAATGCACAGTGTGTGACTGAAACTGCACATAGGATTTTTAAAGAGGTGACTAAGTGAAAATGAAGACATTAGGGTGGATTCTTATCCAACATGACTGGCCTCCTAAAAGAAAAATTTTGCACACACAGAAAAGAGACGCCAGCAGCGAGCGTGCAGAGGAAACATCATGTGAGGACACAGCAAGGGGCAGCGACCTGCAGGTCACCCACGGGCAGAGGCCTCAGGCGAAACCACACAACCAACACCGCGATCGTGGATTTTCCAGCCTCAGAAATGGGAGAAAATACGTTTCTGCCATTTAGGTCATAGTTCTTTTGTATAATTTTCAGGAGCTCTAGCAAAGAAAAACAAGAGAGATGCCGAAGACCTTAGATGAGGGAGAAGGAGGAGGCGGGGCAGGGCGCAGGAGGCGGGGCAGGGCGGGGCTGGAAGGCCAGGCTCTGAGGCGCATCTTCTGGATGGAATCTGGACTCCACCCACTACTGCCTGGAGGGCTTGGGAAAAACATTTACCCTCCTAATAATGATTCGCTAATAAAGATGGGCTTTGAGCATAGGGCTCCCATCATTCTATCTATATTATAAAAGTCTTCTTGAGGTAACTCTTGTAAAACCCTCCCCATTACATCTGGCATGTATTATAGGCTAATAAGCAGCCCTTCTGAGTGACCTAGGGATGTACAGAAAATGCCATTCACGCTGTGTGCACTAGGGGGCACTGTGAGGTTTAGTCTGAGGCCCCTAATGAGTCCAAGTCCTCTGGTAAAGCTCAAGTGCAAAGGGCATGACTGCTGCTTCCTTTGAGGCCTCTTCTATTGGGTAAATCTGAAAACACACTTGGCCCTTTATGACCTTAGGAAATTGCTCAGAGAAGCCCTCAGGCTTAGGGCTCAGACAAGAACCTGGACAAATATTTCAGGGAATGGAGAACAGATTTGCATCCACTGCTCACCAAAGCCACCTAACAAGACACAAGAATAAAGGAAGTAGATTTGCATGAAGAGCCTCCCCTTCCTATGATAAGAGAGGACTGGAGGTTCCTCCTTAGCTGTGGGCTCAGAGGCAGAGCTCTGGGGTGTCTCCACCATGGCCTGGACCCCTCCCCTGCTCACCCTCCTCACTCTCTGCACAGGTGCTGCCTCCCAGGGCTCAGCCCCTGCAGAACTAGGGATGAGCCTAGCCCTGACCTTTAGCTCAGCACAGGGAGTGATGCAGGGGGAAAGGCTCTGGGAATGAGACCCTCATCCTCAGACACCTCTCCTGTCTTCTCTTGCAGGCTCTGTGGTTTCTTCTGAGCTGACTCAGGACCCTGCAGTGTCTGTGGCCTTGGGACAGACAGCCAGGATCACCTGCCAGGGAGAGAGCCTCAGAAGCTATTATCCAAGCTGGTACCAGCAGAAGCCGGGCCAGGCCCCTGTGCTGGTCATCTATGGTAACAACAACCGGCCCTCAGGAATCCCAGACCGATTCTCTGGCTCCAGCTCAGAAAACACAGCTTCCTTGACCATCACTGGGGCTCAGGTGGAAGATGAGGCTGACTATTACTGTAACTCCTGGGACAGCAGTGGTACTTATCCCACAGTGACACAGACAGATGGGGAAGTGAGAGAGAAACCCCTTCCCTCTCTGTGTCACCCTATCTCTCCAGCCCCAGCAGGACTGTAAACAAAGCCATAAGCAGGGCTGGCCCAGTTCACCTGGATCTGAGACCTTCAGGCTTCCCTTCCCTCCAGCCCTCCAGGCAGGCTCTGCAGAAGGTGGGTCGGGATAGGATTTGAGGCTGGAAGGACCACGCTGTTCTGCTGTAGTTTGGACTGAGTGTGTCTTGGCTCAAGATGACCTGAGTGGAAGGACAGTAAGAGAGAGACAGACAGCCATGGAGTGTCCATGGTCTCTGGAATTCCTCTTATGTAATGACTGAATCTAACACAATGCCTGTCCTCTGTGGCCCAAATGCCCTGGACTATTTTTCAGAACTCCACATGTTCCACTGAGACCCTCAAGCCCCAGCTCCTGATGTTCTGAACAGGAAAGTCTTTCCTAGTGAGCGCTGTGACATCCCTTGGCATCCCTGGCTTCCTATGGCTCTTTCCCACTGAAAAATGCCATTGAGTGCAGAGAACGGCTTCATGCCAAGATGTGCCTCCTTCAGAATGTGGTTCAAGAGCAATGACTGCCTGAGGCCTTAATCTCAAAGCCATGCTTTAATTTAGGGTGAACTTGAAATGCCTCCTAGCTGAGAGGTCAGTGGTAACACATTCCCAGTCACGCCTCCCACACTTCTTTCCTGAGAGTATATCCTGAAACTCTACTGCATGGACTCCTCCCTCTCAGAGTAGGATTCCAGGGACTCAAAACACTAAAAAAAAAAAAAAACAACAGTCTAGTGGGAAGAGTATCAAAAAGAAGAGAATTGCACAGAGAGAACTCTGAAGTCTGCAAATATTCATGCACTGATGAACACTTCTGTGTGAAGAAACTCTCTGATAGAGAAAAGAACCACCCAAGACACTTGAGGGAACACTCTACAGAGCGCATGTGTGCACACACTCACACTCATACACACACATTCACTCACACACACACTCTCTCTCACACACACACACACTACAGTCACAGAGGAAAGGCTTGAGTTACAGGGCATGAGGTGGAGTCCTCAGAAGAGCTTTGCGTCAGTACTGGAAAAATGTCACCCTAGACAAATGGCCGCTAGGTCTCAACTATGAAAGCGTAAAAGCAGGCTGGGCACGGTGGCTCACGCCTGTAATCCTAGCAATTTGGGAGGCCGAGGTGGGTGGATCACCTGAGGTCAGGAGTTCAAGACCAACCTGGCCATCATGGTGAAACCCCATCTTTAAAAAAAGAAAAGAAAGTGTAAAGCAAACAGAAAATCCAAGCAGGTTTCAAGTAACTTTACTGAATTCAACAATAAAAGACAAAGGTAGAGAATGAAATGCAAAAGAATCCTAAACCCAGCAGGAAAAATGTGCAATGTCTTCATCCTGTCAATATTTCCTGCAAGGTAACAGAAAATCTATGCTAATCATGCAGAAAAATAAATCAACCCAAAGTGGCAATAAAATTGCACACATGATAGGCCACATAGGCGAGGATAAAAAGGAATTCCTAGAACTCTGTCTATTTCACTTGTTCATGAGGATACAGGATTGAACAAGTATGTAAAGAGGAGACAAAAAATACAGAAGAAAGAGTCACACACATCAGTCAGTTTCCACTAGAATTTCCACACACGGAAACAACCTCACTGAATTTAAGGAATTCCAGCCTGAAAACACTGTCCCCGGAAAGTCTCCGAGACTATAGACCACCTGACCGAGTGCCTGTGCCTCCAGGAACTCCAGAGGCTCCAGCTGGACAAGAACAATGCACAGATGTGGCTACGATGGGATCACTGGTGAGGCCCGGCCTGGCAGGCAGCCCTGGGCTGCCCTGTGGTACCTGGGGGCGCCTTTGGATTTGGCCAATGGCGCCTGAGCTGAGGGATGAGCCTGTGTCGCATCGTGGGAAAAGGCTCTCACTCTGGGCCCTCCTCAAGCAGGAGCCTGGAGATGTGGGGATGCAGCATGAGAACAACTTGCTCTCCTGAGCGTCTCCCACCATGGGAGCTGGCTATGGGGCTGTCTCTAGGATGTGGGTGCCTGGTGACAGTTCTAAGTTCTGTTAGGGTCTGTCACCAAGGAAGTGAAGTCACTTCTTTATGGTTCACTTAAGGTTAAGTGAAGTCACTTCTTTGAGGGAACCTTAAGGTTCCCTCAGCCCCTTTCTTCCATAAGATCTACTCTGAACACCCTGGGCTGCTGACTGCTCACCCTCCCCCCAGGTCAACTCTTTCCCTGCACATAGGTAAGTCCACCCAGGGCCTGCTTGTACACCTGCGCCTGATGTGCACCTGGGGCCTAGCAATCCACTTGGGGCCTGTGATTCCACAGGGGCCTAATGTTGATTGAAACCAATTTTGATTATTCCTGTAGAGGAGGGAAGGCCTCCTAGCAACAGAAGCACAGTTTCACATCAAATACGTAAAAATGATCAAAATCTTGTGGAGGAAAAGTATCTTAATTTTAATCACCAAATTGTTAACTTTTTGATAAATACTTAAGTTTATAATGAAAAATAAAACAATGGTAATAAAATGACAGTTGCAGGGAATGCTACTGAGTTTCTCCCTTGTGGTTTGAACACTGAAAGGCCCCACCTAGTTGTGGTCATAATTTTCCACCTTAATCTTCTTGTTTCTATGATTAATAGAAAAAAGTGCAATGACATTGGTGGTGATGACGGTTTAGGTGCAGAACTGAGCTTTGGTGGCAGAGGCATCAGGTGCTCGCAGTTACACTGCAGCTGTTCTTAGTGGGCTGAGAAAATCAATCTTGTTTTCTATCTGCATGGGGAGCAGGAGTACATGTGGGTATGACCACATTTCTCTGGACTTATGTATTTCACAGAAGAGCTACAGTTTATCCTCCACTCCTCATTCTATGGTCAAAAACCATGGAAGAAGAAGAGCATTTCAACCTGAGACTCAGTTACCAGAACTGCACCTGCCCCACCTCCGCGCAACCACATATGCCTCCTGTCTGTGCTGAGCCAGAGGGTTCACATATGGCACAAACTGAGGTCAGACTCCGTGATCCCCACCATCGCAGGTGACAGGTATTCAGGGGTCACCTGGAGGAGGGAAGCTCCTGGGCTCCATCTTCCTCACCAGCAGGGGGCAGCAGAGCTGCAGACAGAAGAGGCTGGGTCTGCCCAGGAGGAGGCTAAGAGGGAGGCCAGCCCTGAAGGGAAGAGGTTTCCAAGGATCAGTCCTGAGTCTGGAAGTCCAGTAAGGTGTCTCGTATCCCCTCAGGCTGCAGTAACCCCGTCCTGAGGGTTAGACTCACACAGTCACCCAGGACACCGACAGAACACCAACAGGACACCGAGGACAGTCACCCAAGACACAATGAGGGCCTTACCTGGGAAACACAGCTGGAGGCGCTGGGGCCCTGGGGTCAGCCTGGGAAGCTCCCGAAGGGCTGGGATTCCCTGGGAGATGACTTGAGGTTGAGGTGCTCTAGGAGGGGGGCACAGTGTGAGAGGCCAGGGCTCCCAGGGCCCGAGTCCTTTACCCAGGATGGCAGCCTGAGCCTCCTGCCACTCTCAGGAGCTTATCCCTGACTGCCCAGCAGCATCCTGGAGAGCTGAGCCCTCTGTCCTGGCAGAGATGCTCATTCCAGAGATGCCCAACCCCTCCTCCCTCCACCTCTCCTTTTAGCTCCAGGCCGACTCTGACTTAGGGGCAGCTCTTGTGCTCAGGGGAGTCTCAGGTGGGTGTGGTTAGGCATTCAGGGCCCTGGTCTCCGGATGGGACATCACCAGCCTCCTTGAGGAGATGCTGTCAGAGGGAAGGGGACTCCCACCTGCCTCAGGCCACAGCTCTGACTATGGGGCTGTCCTTGGGTCAGTGACAGGATCTACTTGGCTGGAGGGTCAAAGGGCCAATCCCTCCAGAGGGTCAATCCCTCCAGAGCTCATGCTCTGTGCATGGACTGGTGTCCTGGGACCCTCACGGAGACCACAGGGCCTGAACTTAGTTTCTTAGTCGGGTCTGGGTTTTGGGGGCTTTTACAAGTTTACATGAAAGATTGATGGGGAAAATGTAAGGAATAGAAGAGGTGAAGATGTGAACTGCTAGGCTCTTTGGAGGGATGTGGAGATGCCATAGAAGGAGCAACACCATGTGTGAAATGGGACTGGACTGCGTGTGATGAATGCACAAATGCAGGTGGTTCCTCATTAAGCACACTGCCACATAGGACACGATCAGCAATGATCCTAACGACAGAAACCCATTCTAATGAAATGACTGCAACGTGGAAATCAGTGATTCTGAGGCCCCCAGAGGAGAGACGAAGGAGGAGGAAGAATAATGGATCCGTGGTCCACCTGCTGCTGAATCAGCTGTCATCAATGATCAGTCATCAGCAGGGCCCAGCTCAGCCCCAGACTGGGGTCCTCAAAGGTCCACAGCCTGCTGAGCCTGTCCCTGGACAGACCACAGGATACCATAGTTTGAGAAAGTGACCATGTGGTCAGTTCCCGGGGAGGTTACTGTGATCACAGACCTTGGAGCCCAAGGCTGATCTTCCAACCAGAGAAGCAGAAGAAAGAAGCCAGGGACCCACCCCTTCCTCAGCCTCCTGAGCTGCCCCCACAGCTGGTTTTAGTGGCAGCCCTCACTGAGGAGTCCCAGAGGATGTATATTTGCATAAGTACCAAACCCTCACTGCCCCAAAGGGCTTGAGAGGGAATAAGAGAAACCTGGGCAGCCCAGCTGTGCTGTGGGCTCAGGAGGCAGAGCTCTGGGTACCTCACCATGGCCTGGACCCCTCTTCTGCTCCCCCTCCTCACTCTGCACAGGTGCTGCCCTTTAGGTCCTGCCCCAGGCTCAGCCCCTCAGACTTCAAGCTGGGCCTGCCCCAAACCCCAAGCTCCTCCCACCACAGCCTTGGTAGGTGGAGGGGGAGGACCCTTGGGAAGGGAATCATCATTTACAAGCCTCCTCACCTGTCCTCTCTTGCAAGCTCTGTGGCCTATGAGCTGACACAGCCACCCTCGGTGTCACGGCTCCTGGAATGATGGCCAGGGTCACCTGCTCTGGAGATGTGCCAACAAAAAAATAGGTTTACTGGTACCAGCAGAAGCCAGACCAAGCCTGTGCTGATCATCTAAGAGGATAGCAAGTGATCTTCAAGGATCTCTGAGAGATTATCTGGCTCCAGCTCATGGACTAGAGTCACCTTTATCATCAGTGGAGGCCAAGCTGAGGATGAGACTGGCTTTTACTGTCAATCATGGGACAGCCGTGGTACTTATCCCAAAGTGACACAGACAGATGGGGGAAGTGAAACACAAACCCCTTCCCCATCTGTGTCACCCTCTTCCTCCTTCCCCAGGAGAACTGTGCACAAAGCCTTGAGCAGGGTCTGGCCTACCGTTAACCCATATCTGAGTACCCCAGGCTGCCCTTCCCTCCAGTCCTCCATGCAGGATCTGCATTAGGTGGGTGAGGAGAGGATTCAGGGCTGGCAGGACCAGGCTGTCCTGTGTTTGCTTGCCCAGAGTGTGAGTTGTGGATGGAGGATCTGAGTGGAAGACTGGAAAGAGGGCGACATTCATGCAGCCATTAAAAACCTAAGGGGGCAAGGGGGACCCTCAACTGAAATAATAATTTCAGTCATTATTATTGTATCTCTGGAAAAGCAATTCTCTTCTGCACCTAAGACCTCTAGTCCAGCAAAGCAGAAGAACACTGAGAGAGAATGTATCATTTTTGCTCATGGATCCCTAGGCATAATAGTGAGTGAAGCCAGTCCCACCTTCAAGCCTTGATTCAGGTCTCACGAATCCTGGCTGCTGTGGGAGAAGCAGCGCCACACATTGGGCCCTGATTTACAGCATATGCCCCATCCTGAAAGATGTGAGCTCATCCCTACAAGTCGGCCACCTCACTGGCACAATAAATTAAACAACTATTAAACGTTTTCCTAGCATGAATCCATATGCTGAATATGTTATTGCAATTAACAGTACTACTTAAATTGGTTGTGCAAACTGCAAAGACTTCAAATGTTTTTGTTGATAAACTTAGAAATGCTTTTAATTTATTCAGTGTCTTTGAATTCAATGTTTATAATTAATGAGCTGACACAAGACTTAGTCAACTTAGGAAGTCATAGCACTTTTGGAAATGGAAATCTACTTATTTAGTCAAATCAGGTCTTGTAGAATAGATGAACTAGTCTTGTCAAAGTGCATGCAGAAGTTAAATGAAAATGATAGTGCATGATTATCTCATTGGAAAAAGTTAATGCGAGCTTGGAAACACTTAAGTATCTGAATATACCTTATCAATGTAAATATTATGTAATCTAAATGCAGATGAAGTATTTATGATGAAAATATAGTGTCCAAATTGAGATATGCTATAAGTATCTTATACAATTAGGATTTAAAAGATTTGGTATGAAATAAAAAAAACACTACAATATATGTGATAAATAACTTTAAATTGATTTACATGTGTAAATTATTTTTGATATACTGTAATAAATAAATATATTCCTGAAATAATTTGTTTCTTTTTCATTTTTGAAGTAGCAACTAGACAGTAAACATTCCTGTGAGGCTCACGTTGCATTGCCGTTGGACAGCGCTGGTCTGGACTCCCCTCAGGCAAGAGGTGACTTGTGACCAGCAGGCGGCAGCAGTGCTGCAGTGGGGAAGCTTCTGGGAAAGGCTGGGGCTGCACAGGTGCATCCCCAGCCCTGAAGGGAATCAACAAGGGCTCAAACTTCCTTCCCTGCTGAGTCAGGTGTCATCAATAATCTCTCAGCAGGTCCCAGCTAGGGCACTACTCCATTCTGTCCCGTCGGGCTGTGGCAACCACATTCTGAGGGTCAGGCTCAGAGCTGATTTTCCAGGAGATGGGCTGAGACCAAGCACCAATGAGCCCCCTTCCTGGAAATGTGTCTGAAAGATGCCTGTTCCCAGCTAGGTACTCAGGACTCAAGGAGCTCTGGGGCATCTTTACCATGGCCGGCCCCCTCTCCTGCTCCCATCCTCACTCACTGGACAGGTTTATCCACCCAGACAGGCCCCCAGGCTCAGACCCCATGGGGCCCTAAGCTAGGCCTGGCACTGACCCTGAGCTGGGGACATGCTGGGAGGAACCCTGTAGAAATGATCCCCTTGGTCTCTGACAACCTGTCTCTTCTCCTTCGCAGGCTGTGTCCTCCCGTGGGTGCTTGGCAGCCATAAGGCCCATAGCCCCTCTCCGCTGCTCAGGGCCAGGCAGGGACACCTTTGCTCTGTCTTGCACGTGAAGAATGCTCGCTGAAACCCATTCTGAGTCTTTAGTCTTTAATGTAATGACAGGCCTCCCCATCCATATCTTACTTATCTTTGATAAGGGGTCTAGGAACACATCCCCCAAACCGTCCTTTGGGATCAAGATGAAGATGGCATCAAGTGGGGTTGACCACAAAGCTCTCAATGACACAGCCAAAGGGAGAACTGAGACATATATATACTCTGTTGTCCCTAGCCTGGTGCACATCCTCCCCTCCCTTTGGGAAAGATGTTTGGAATTAGGCTCAGGAGAACAGAATTCAAGTTTGCCATTGGTCTCTCTCCCTCTCTTTGTCTGTCATTTCTCCCCATACCCCTCCTTGTCTTTCTTTATCCTCCTCCTCCTTTTCCTCCTCCTCTCCCCCTCCTTTTCTTCTCCTCCTTTTCCCCCTCTCCTCCTCTTCCTCTTTCTCTTCTTCCTCCTCCTTTTCCTTTTCCCCCTCTCCTCCTCCTCCTCCTCCTCCTCCTCCTCCTCCCTCTCTCTGACTCTATGCCTCTCTCTGATACTAAGCCCTTTATTCACGAGTATGGCCTGAGCTATGGAACTGACGCAGGGCACTGACATCAAGAGTTCCCTTACAGAAGCTGGAGTCAACACCTGAGTCCTGTCTCCAGGTGATCTCAGAGGACTGCACCATAGGCCCCTCCACCCTTCTCTTCCCTTATACAGGGTCTCCCTTCAGATCATGTCCATTGCCAAATCAGGTCCGCTTCTTTTGAGACTCATGGGCACTTCATCCCCAGGCTCCTGAGGTTTTCTTCCCTGCTGACAGAAGATCCCCCTGACAACACAGTCTGCTTGTGGATCCTCAATTCAGGACCACAGCTGCAAGTGTCAGCTGACCACCCACAGCCCCCACACAGCGGTGGGGCAGAAGCCCAGAGGGCAGCGGTGAAAGCAGAAGCCCAGAGTGACCAGGTGGAGCAACCCATTAAAGTTCCAGGGGCTCCTATTGCATCCTTGGGGGTCACCCTTTGGGACCTGAACTTCCAAACCACAGGATCCAGAATTAGAATAAAAATAATAATACATTCTCCATGTGAGCCACCACCTCATCCGCTGGTCCTGGATTCAGATATGTCACCAATGAGGGACACAGTTCCTCATAGTGGTTGCTGATTGAGGAGGCTACAGACACACTGTGGCCGGCGTCTGTCTTGCTTCCTGCATTGCGCCACAGTCCTGCTTGTGCCTTTGTGAATGGCCTGTGGCCTTTTCACGCTACAGTTCAAGGCTCCCTCGTGGTGATAGAGATCCTATGGTCTGCAAAACCTAAAATATTTATTACACAAAAGGTCTTATGTTATATGATGCTATTTATGTGATTATCTAGAATAGGAAAATTCACACAGAAAGAAGATCAATGGCTACCTGGAGCTGGAACAGGTGAGAAATAAAGAGGAAGTTTTTTATGGCACATAACTTTTTGGGGAGTGGCAAGAACGTAGAACTAGATGAAGAGCTAGTGGTTGCACCACGAAGTGAAGATACTAAATGCCACTTAAATGTATACTTTAAAATGGTCAATTTTATCTCATATGGATTTCACACAATTTAGAAAATGCGTGATTCTTAAAAGTTGGCCCTTGTAATCGAGTTGTTATATAACATCTACAACTTCGTGATGGCACTGAAGGACCATGAACAGTCCAGAGACTATTTTTTATACGGAGGACCCAGGCAGTATTTCAAGGGCTCTTACAGAGTAAAAAGATATTTTAAAAAGTCTTCTCTGGTTGTTTCTACGGTGGAGTATTTTATCCTTGGGTTTCTATGAGCACCAAAGGGTGCGGGAAGTTTGCAGCCGCCTCCCAGCTGCCTGGCTCACCCATGTCTCGGTTCAGCAGCGCCCCCCACAGTCAGCTTGCTGAGTTGAGAAGGAAGAGCTGTGTCCTTCTGAGCCCCAAAATGTGGTGCAGGGTTTCCCCGCCACTCCCCACCCAGCCTGCTTGTTCCTGTGCACTCAGAAGGGGTCCTTATGTCTGTGCTAGGCACCCCCTCATGCTGCTCTGCTGTCCTCCTTACCCGGTGGCTTTGGGAATGTCACTCACCCTCTCTGCCCCTTCCCTTCTCTGTCCAGTGCTCTCCCCATCTCTGGGTTCCAACCAGATCAGGTAGTCCGTGAGACATTGTGGAAATCAGATATTGGTCATCAAGCGAAATCTTCAACAAGGGTCCTGATTTCAGCTCTGGGTGTGCTCACTTGCCTGCTGGTGGAATAAGAGGGAGGGGAACAAAGGGATTAGTGACCCCATCCTGAGTGACTTGAGCCACATTTGCAGCCAGTAGCTGTTCTTTGCTGCGTCTCTCCTGTCCTTGCTCCAGCAGCTGCATCCTGGAGGCCACAAGCTGTGCTAAGCAGCTGCAAGATCACCTCATTCATCACCTGGGAACCCCCCCTCACCACACCTTAGTACACTGCATTCCTACCCCCAAATTCTCCACTCTGCTGAAGGTATTACAGGGGACTGGAACTGCTTCAGCTCCTAGATCCCCTGGTATCTGTCACTGCTCATTCAGACCTTCCAAACCTTCCCCTCTCCCTGCAGGTCAGTGACAGAACTCTGCTTCCTCACACTTCTCATCACTGTTCATTCTTCCCTGAGAGCAGCTCCAGAAACACCTCTTCAGGGAGGTGCCCCCCTCTGATTACACAGCAGCCTCCCTGATGCTTTCTGTCTACATTTGCCATTAATTATCTGCAGAGCACCTAAAACTTCATGCTTCTTTCTCTAAGACGATAATTTTTAGCCAATTTCCTTGTGATAAATATTTCCAGGACCAATTAGAAATGTTTTTTCTCGCCAACGACACACATGGCAGAAAGAGACATGAACAGCAGGTTGCTATTCTCTGTCTCCAAAAACAAGTCTAGGCCAGTGAGGACCTACGTGGATTCAACATGCATATCAAGAGGCATTATTTCTGTTCAGTATCTACCCTGGCCACGGCACGATGTTCATCTGCAACAATTACAAAGTGTTCAGATTTGATAAATCTAAATGCCATTAAAACTTAAAACAAAAAAAAAAGCGCAATCCTCGCAAGTTCAGGTGGACCAAAGTATTCCAGAAAGCAGCTGGCAAAGAACTTCCAGTGGATAATTCATTTGAATTTGAAAAACTTAGAAACGAACCCACCAAATGCCAGTGAAAGCTATGAAATAAAACTACTGATGCCATTGAAGAGAGGTGAGGAGCTTGAACAGAAACACCAAGCTAAATTTATAATGAACAGATTGAAGAAAAATAAAGAGCTACGGAAAGTTCAGGATATCATAGAAGTTAAGAAAACATCCTTCTTATCTGAGCCCCTCTTGCAGGCAAAGGAAAGCAGCTGGAAGAAAAAATGGTACAGCAATTACAACAGGGTGTGGATGTGGAAGATGCCTCTTAAAAAGTCTCTGTAACCATTTCCATGTCTACATTTGAAAATGTCCTTTAGGGAGGACTCAAGATGGCGCTGTGAGAACAACCCAGGATTGGAGCTCCCGTTGAATCCGCAAACGGTGAGTCAGACCTGCATTTACAGACTGATCTTTGTTGCCCACAGAATGGGGAAACTCCCAAGTATAAAAAGACACGGGACGCCAGGCAGTAGGTCTGCCTGGCGAAGCCGGCAGCCAGGGCGGCGGCGGCCGGCCCTATTCAGAATCCCCACAGGGCGCGCTTGTCCGGGTGCCCTGTTGAACCGGCAACCTGAGACTTGAGAGGGCTGGACTTGAGACTGAACGAGACTTGGACAGTAGCCCAGCCCAGGGGATTGCAGGGACAGATCGTTTGGGATACCCAGTGGGACGAACAAAACCGCGATTTCAAACTATCCCGAGCAGACGGTCCAAGAAGCTCTGTGGGGGAGGGATGTCCACCACTACCGAGGCAACCCGCCCCAACTGAGATACACACCCACTGCTGACGCAGCCTGCCGTTGCTGAGGCAACACGCTACAATGAAGAGACTCCGCCGCAGGGCGTGGCGGAGACCACAGCAGAGCCTGCAGGAACAGGGTGAATCACACAACAGCAGGGCAGAGCCTCGGCAGCCAAACAGTGGCTAGTCTGCCTTCTAGCTGGGCAGGACACCTCATCGAACATCCAAAAATAAAGCCCAAACCCCTCAACACAGAGCATTTGAGAAAAA